TCAATTTGTTTTCCCTTCCAGATTGCCTTATCTTCCCCCCCCCCCCTTTGTTTTGTACTAGAACTTAAAAGGAAACTGAGCATGAGAAATAATGACAAGAACACATATAGTGGAATGGTGTTTTAGTTGTTATAGCTGCATTAAATAGGTACTCATAACGGGTATTCTTATGATTTTGGAGCTCTTAACCACAACTTCTGACTTCTCTTTGATGGTGGACAACAATCCCGTCTACTTTCGGGTGATACGGGTAGGTACCACTCCCGGATGATACTTGTAGGTGTACACTGATACCGAAAACCCACCACAACACCGTAAGGGACACCCCATGTGTTATGGCGGTATGTGATGGTTCCAGGAACTTGTACAGATAGTTGTGGGTATCACTTTTTCGAGCCATGTTTTTCGCAATGGAGGCAGTTTATCTGTATCAGAAAATGTTGTTTTGGAATCACTGTGCGCGCAGGCGGAATCTGTTAATCTTTGAATAAGCGTTCTGAATGCATTAAGCACGCGATCCTTCGATCCTACACAGCAGAGCTACGTCATAATCACCGCCTGACCCATTTCCTTTTCAGTTTGATGCTATTTCGGGAATTTCGTGAGGGATTCGATTTTTGCAGATTTCCCGACGTCTCGACAACTGTCGGTTATCGTCATTCTGCAGGAAATCTCATATTGAGAAACTTACCGATTGTGATGCATATTTTGAGCATGTTGGCGAGTATTACTTCGAACGCAGTCCAATTATCTTCGAATACATCGTGGATTTCTTTGTTACTGGTTAGTTCTTCTTTGATTTCTTGAGTACGAAAAGCTCCCACTTGATAAGACTTTGACTGTAACACAGTCTCCATGTGTAGTTTTTTTCTCTAATTATCCATTGAAGTGGTGAGTACTTTCATGCTTTTTTAGTGATCTTGAATTTTTTGAGAAATCTTAAGGTACTTATGGGCAAATGTCTTGGTCCCAGGAAGCACATGAATCCGCACCTCACGCTTTCTGGGCACACTCTTCGCCATATAAGCAGCGTTGAACGCGATCGATGTGCATGCTTTCGACTGCATCGATCGCGTCGAACGCGCAACCGAAGCGCTGCCGTCGCGAAGTCTGAACGCTGCCATACACGTATGACCATAACGTTTTAGCGCGAGCAGAGGCCTAAACAGCAATTATAACAATAATAAAATAATTTTTAAAATAGTATTCTTGCCAGCGATCGATGTGCATGCTTTCGACTGCATCGAACGCGCAACCGAAGCGCTGCCGTCGCGAAGTCTGAACGCTGGCCATATCACTTATGACCTATAATGTTTCGCATCCTCAGTCGCCGAGGGCAGAGGCTCTATAACAGCAACTTATAACAATAATAAAAAATAATTTTTAAGTAGTATTCTTGCCACGCCGTGCGCTAAGTATTCCTGAACAGCAAGGTGAACTGAGGTATTAAGTCGTTAGGGAGGGGAGAGGTCACATTCGAGTTCTTGGGGGGGATCTGCTGAAGTGAGGAGAATTTTTCCAGTACCTTGACGCGCTCTTGTCTGAGGATATCAGCCGGCTACAATCACCTTGATTGCACTAGGAGCCCGAGCAAACCAAGCGGGAAGTTCCTCTGGTAAGAGGAATAGAAGGTTTGTTTTGACGGTGAAAGAAGAGGCCCTTGATCAACCTCTTTTGGGATAAGGCACGCATTCTACTGCCGTTTAGAATCAAAGGGGCTGGATGCGATGTGGCCCTACATCGACTTGCAGTGAAGAGCCGGTATATAAAGCCAATGTTGTTATCCTCCCTGACGAATTTTAGAACCGCGCCAATTTACCACGTGCGAGCGGTAGGAGACCTGATTGCCGAGCAGGAACCTATGCGATTGGACCTCCGGGACAGCGTGCGTAGTAAGCGTGCCACTTGCCACTACACCTCCTCAGAAGCTGCTCAAGAATGGTGAAACAGATGGCTTCTACTAATTCCTTCAGAATGTGCTACGCATTCGTCTAATACTAAGTATTAGAAGTGTAGTGATGTTAAACGTCTCTCGTCCCAGCAGCGAGTAATGCGGGCCGTACGTGTAGCACTCACTGATTTCAACAAGTCCAACGAGTCCTGAAACATTTACATTTAACTGTGGAGGGCTGGAATGCTTAGCAAGCATGGGAGAGAATGCAGTGGGTGCTTCACATTGCTCTATATTATTGCTCTATATGCTCTATATATATTTGATAATCACAGTATTACTCATCTGAAAAAAATAACGAGAGCTGGCATTTCGCTGATCCACATTATCACTCATCAAAACACGCTCAGACTCCTTCCTGATTTAAGCCTTCTCATCACCTCAGAATATTCCATGACCGGCTTTCAATCAATCTCGATATAGGCGTAGATAATGTGCTTTCAACTTAACAGTACTCCGAAGAAGGCGATTTTTGCCGAAACGTTAGTCTAATAAACGTCTTTACCAATCTCGGAAGGCTAAAGGATCAAGCAACAATATACTTCTCATAACCTCCTCATGCGTAGGACTCGCCTTACAGAAATGAGGAGCTTCACTGAAATGGGGCTTGCGGCATGCACCGGTGACCCGCAGAAAGTAGTCAAGGATTTCCTAGCAAGCTGATGCGCCACCTCTAACAATGGGATACGTCCCGGTGCGAGTTCCGCGCACGTGAACGCCGATTGCACCTCCTTTGTCGCATTTCACGCAGCGTGGCATGCTAAGGAATTCTAACTTATCACCGCACTAGACATATGTGCTACTTGGGTGTGCTACTCTGTGCGAGAAACAGAGCAATAAAGGGAATTCATTACACTACGGAAATTATGCAGTAGCAACGTCTCATTATTTTTATTGCATGATTTCCGCAATTTTTTAAATTACCGGAAGTTGCGTAATAAAAACTAACGTGAATTAGTGAGATGCAGAGATCACGTGTTTAGAAAAATATTGGAAAATATCCGTTCTTTAGAAAGTAATGTAGTTTCTTTTCTTGATAAACTCGCAATCCTCTACCAATGGTTCTCGGTTAGCGATCGATTTTGGAAGAAACAACCAGTGGTAGAAAACGCAGTGGGTCATTCGTCCCTCTTGAAACCTTTTCGATAACAACTGTAAACTCTTGAGAAATTTGAAAGATAACAGCTGTGTGTGCTGAGAATTATGCGTGCGGACGCAGTTTTCCGTAGTTTTTATAATATCTATTTCCTCTGAGGTGAAGGCGGTATAGGGGCAAGTGGCACGCTTAGCACGC